ATAGTAGATATAAATATGTATATATCATCGCTAAAGCTCAGTATCCTAAAAAGGCATGTTGAAGAACCTCTATAATAGCTACTTTCCTTTAAAACTCCTTTTTCAACTGGGTGCCCATGTATCGTCTTACAGACTTTGTAAAATTGATAACCCCTACTGGCAGGATTTGATATACTAGTACATTTGGAGTAAATACTATAGGTCTCATCTGACAGATGCAAGAGATATTCAGGCTATTCTAGCTGAACCGATATGGTTTAACAACCAGTGTACAGACGCAAGTTTTATTATAGAAAAACTGGTTCTGTAAAGGAGTGCATTATATAAGAGACCTATGTGACGAGAACGGGCTCTTATCCTTTGTAGACTTGGGGAAAAAATTCAGTCTTAAGGGTACTTATTTAGTCCATCATGGAGTTGTTAGTAACCTCCCTAAAGAATAGATAAGGGTGATAGACAATTCTAAACCTATATGTGTTTACGATCTTATGATTAATAACTTTCTTATGGAATGGACTAAACCATCAAAGGGTTCTCGGAAGATATATGATATACTTGTGCAAAACAAATATCTCCCTATTATCTGTTGTAAATGGCAACAAATGTTCTTAACTGACTTAAACTGGAAGGAAATATTTAGTCTTCCTAAACAATGCTGTAGAGATATCAAGCTACAAGATTTCCAATATAGATTTTTGCATCGCATTATATACACTAAAAAGGAATTATTTAAAATGAAGTTGATCGACAATAGTATTTGTCAAAGCTGTAATAATGAAAACGAATCGATTGTGCATGTCTATTTTGAATGTCCACAGGTTCGTCATTTGTGGTACAATCTGGAACAATATTTGAGACAATATATATATATATATCAGCTGTATTAGAAATGAATCTTTGCCTTTCAAATCCCATATTGCTACCTTGAAAGATATTTTTCAAGTTGGAAGATATGTTGCCAGAATGAAAAACGAAACAAATGAATGTATGAGCAAATGGCTACGACTACTTACAATATGGACCGATGTGTCATGACTCTTCAACATGCTTAAAGTAGAACTTTGAAATAGTGAGTTACAATTGTGCCTATTCACAAACGGGAAAAGATATACATATTAATATACATAAGCTGTATTAGAAATTTAATTTTGTCCTTAAAATCCCTCATCGCTTCTTTGAAAGATATGTTGCCAAAATGAAAAACCAACCAGACGAATGTGGAGCAAACGGGCACCCATTACTTACAACATGGTCTGATGTGTCATGACTCGTCAATGGGTACAATGTATGGTCTCTGTGCAGTAATATTTGCTCATGGTGCAGTTAATTTTACTCATGGTCGAAGACTGATGTATTGCGGCTTGTCAACATGTACAAGCCTGTATTAGACCTGACATCTGTATAATAATGTATGAATGTTCCTACTTCTTGGCTTATTGGCGTTAAATGTAATTTAACAAATGTTGCATTTGACCTCTTTTTTGCATTCAACTGGAGGGGGAGCTCACTCTGAGTGTGTTCATTCGAATCCCGGTAGGGCCTCAAAAAGTACCTCAGTACCTTAGTAAAAAGCGTATTTCCCAATGTGGGATATGTTGCTTTTGGCCACTTTCTATAGAGGACATTGGAGGACATTGTGCATTCATTACATTTAAATTGCCAATATTATGCCACGCAATTGGTTGGGGGAATTGGGTTAGGACCAAGACTGCACACCTAGCCCACATCTTCACACGCATCAAATACAGCCGCTGAGATAGGCAGGCTTATACACGTCAGAAGGTATTACAATGCTCAGTGAACCGACATGTTTTATTGGGACCATGTCTATTCACGCGACAGGTATATGATTTGACCTTGACACAACCAGGAAGTTGGTGTGTTATCAGAAGGATGTTGTTACAGTGTTGTTGCCTTGTAGAACGTACCAAACATGTATGACGTATTCTATTTACCATGAAATGTTTACCCTGCGTTGACAACCTGATTACACGTACATGGCATATCATTTATGAAGAACATTGTGATAACCAACGACCCAATGTTTGGGATCACACTTTCTGAGTACAGATTCTAGTACTTTGTGTGCTGGTGATTAGGTGCGTGACTTAGATAGTGTGGGTTCGAATCCCGGGTGGGACTTTACCAAGCCCTTACTGAGAAATATAGGTTATCACGCGAGTGTGTTTTGGGATGGTTAATATCCTGCATTAGGAATAATCATTTGTATTTAGCGAGCCTTGGCGAGCTAGTACATAGTGTTTATTCCTAATGCAGGATATTAACCATCCCAAAACACACGAGCGTGATAACCTATTTATCATACAATGTCGTTTTTGCTTTATAATTTAAAAACTGCAATTTCAAATGCTACAAACCAAGAACCTAAACTTCGTCTTCGTCTAAACTTCGAAACTAAACTATGACGTCACAAATATGTGCGGAGTAATACGTTACGTAACAAGCCCGGTGACATATTGTAGCAAACCTTTATGATGGGCAAGTTGTAAATGGGCCCAGTTGCCCGAACACCTATCAAACTTTCAAGTATCTATCTATCTATCCTGATCACTCAGCGGTCATCAAGTTCCCAGTAAGCTTTTATGCTAAAGCACGTATTGTTGTCAACAAATCTTAGCTTACGTTTGAAAAATAACAACAAACTCACGTGGAACTTCAGAAACATTCAATTAACCTTTTGAACAACGAAATACGCTTTAATGTTAGCGTGACGTTGTGCACCGTTCTCTCGCTAACACTGACAGTCGGTCGGGGAACTGATGTTGGTATCTTCGTAAGCCTATGAATTTCTATGTTCCCTTTGTAAATCTACTCCATCTATCAAAACCAGGCATGAATTTTCTGGGATCAAAGCACTGACAGTACCGTAACCACGGCCGTTAATCCGGACATAACCACCGACTCTCGACGCTATGTTTGTTTACACTGTGAAAGTAGTCCCAGAAATTTGCATATGACCTCTCTAATTTGCATCGATATCCGTATAAGACCCCAACGGATACCGAAAACTATCCGTTGGCTTTATCCTGCCGAGAACACTATCCATTGTATGATAAAAGTTTGGATTACATGAGTGATAAAAGTCAAAACAGATATTCATCCTCTATACACAGATCACTAAAAGGAGAAGTTCTCAAACAATTCTTACCACCTGCCCGCATTATTTACCAACCGTAAAATTCCCCTCTGAACTTCACTGAATACCTCAAAGCATAAATTCGCTAATTACATAAGACACAAAGCTTTTCTGGGTTGTTGTTTTTGTTTGTTTGGGTTTTGTTTTGTTGTTTGTTTTGTGTGTTTTTGCGTGTGTTTTTTTGTTTGTTTTGTTTGTTTGTTTTTTGGGGGGGTTTGGTTGTTTTGTTTTGTTTTTTGTTTTTGTTTTGTTTTTGTTGTTGTTGTTGGGTGGGGATGGTTATGGGATTTTTTATGGGATTGTTTATACACTCTTTCCTATAAACTCTCACTAACCCCATAACACATATATTGGCGTGATGCATCAGTCGTGATCCGTGAAAATAGTGTTGCTCACCTCCACTAGTGACCTAAAACAAAACAAATTCAGAGTCAGGATACTGTGATCAGTCATTCCTTCAAGTCCTAAAGCATTTATCCAGTACCTCAGGATATATCTTTAAACGGAATCTTTATTCTTGATCAAATTGTCGACCTCTATCACTCTGATGATGAATGTTTGAGTAGCGAGCGACGATGAAGATATGATCTGGAATGGTTGACGATGGACGACTCGATCTCGCAAAGAAACAGAATGGAGAGTGTAGGACAAATAGACAGGAAATATTAACGTTAACTTTGCAGTGGTTTGTGTCGAAGTATTTCGCAATAACACTGGCTGCCTGGAGTGAGGGTCACACAATAAGTTATACTGAACACAACTAGTCACTTGACACCCACATTATTGATCATCGTGAGGGGTCATTCCTTGTAGTTACCTGTGCCATACACACGACAGCCACGTGTGTCCTGGCGACGGACGCAAAACATTAGGTCATAAAGCGTGACAAAACCGTAACAAAATCGTGAAACACGGCAAAGAGTCACTTTAAAACCATAACGATCGTACATGCATGCGAATGCAAGCATACACACATTGCAAGTAGATAGAAGCGACAAAACCCTTTCCACATCCATAAGAAATCCCTGCCCTGAGTCGATTGTACACTTGTTACTATATCATGAGTATATATTTATTTCAGCAGTACTACAGCTGCATGATGTTGTGTGCAAACAAATCGAGTCTGGACCAGACAATCCAGTGATTGTCACCATGCGATACAATGTACATGTTTATGAATCCCTATCTAATAATGATGATATCAGCCTTTTGCGACAACAGCAAATAGCATCAAAATTTAAACAAAATGCGAGCTTTGCCGCAACCCACAAATCAGTACCGTGAGCATGTCGTGTGTAGGCTTAAAGCTGTAAAACCCGTTGTAGCAGTTGCTAAATTGTTGCTGTATTGTTACCTGGATTGTAGCCGCTTGATACACATCCATTTTGATAATAATACCCGCACTTCTTCGATTGTGGGTCTGGACCCGTGAAGGTCCGGGTTAGCATTGATCTGCAGTAACCCATGTTTGTCGTAAAAGGTGACTAACGGGATCGGGTAGTCAGGCTCGCTGACTTGATTGACACATGTCATCGGTTCCCAATAGAGCAGATCGATGCTAATGCCGTTGCTCACTGGATTGTCTGGTCCAGACTCGATTATTTACAGACCGCCGCAATATAGCTGGAATATTGCTGAGTGCGGCGTAAAGCTAATCTCACTCACTCACTCCATTGTGGGCCTTAGTTTAACAAGTGTCAGATTGTCAATTTCGTTGAGAATATTACGCATATACCTGGATAGAAAAACAACAACATTCCCATCATCCTCCGTATACCGGAAGTCATTGTAACTGTGAATAATTTTATTTTTAAAAGGACTGATGAATTGTTCTAATTTCCAGAAAGATGAACCGTATCCATGCCGTTGTTTTACTCTTGGTTGTGTGGACGGCGCGCTCGTCGTCATTGCTGTGGACGCTAGAGGCAGAAGGCACGCAAGGTCAACATACCAGGAACTACAGATCTGAAGCATCTGGACATCAGTCTGTCCTCCTCTACCAGGGCGAGTCCATCTTGTTCTCGATATGTTTCATGCGGAGGACAAACCTAACTGTCAAAGACGTCGTTTTTTCCAACGATGGTCAGTCTGACAACGTCGGTGTCGGCCTGGACAATGTTGCCATTGGCTCATTCCGAACACATAGACATGACACTGGTGGTCGGTCATGGAACAAATTTTATCATTCTGGTGAACTTGGAAGTATAGGTGTTGGCGCTGGGATAAATCGATTGAGCATTTATGCCAACGAAACTGATCGTTGGGGCCTCGAAATTGATAGGGTTGTGATAGAAATAGCGGACGATCATCTTAATTCGGACATTCTGCATTGCAGGCTACCCTGTGCTCAGGACCCACCTGTGCTTCATAACCCACAACGAGAGTCTGTCTCGTCAGGTTATATTACTCAGAAGAGTTATCCAACATCGTGCGCTGAGGAGGATAACGTACACATCCCAGTGTTTCATGACTCAGTCAGTGAATACACCATCAGCGCAACCTTACCAATGTACCATTCATTCAGAAATGACGTGTATCAAGATTTTGACAATTGCTCCTTTGCCCAAACAGTGTTCTGGAACTACACCGATGTAAAACTGAGTTCCCTTCTTGTACAAACCGACCCGAACTCTCTTAGCGTGTTGGCCTCACGAGTTAACAGCCAAGGTATTGCAACGATTCATCTGGGTCTTTTATTCTATCTTGAAACACCGGAAGAAGGAGTGTATAATTCGGAAATGGGGGGAATCATATCCTTGTCCCTGAGTGGCATCATGGACGTTGCTATGGTTACGGTACTCTGCAGGGGAAAGTTTAACAGATACACCACACTACAAACGTACCAATTTACAAACACATCTGATACCTTTGAATGGGAAGTTCCTGATTATGTCTTGGGTGCCAATGCAAACCATGTTATCTTAGTTATCGTAACAAGCCATCCAGAAACTATAACTATAAACCACTTCTACATCAAAAGACGCACATTTGAAGAAGACTCAATGTTTGAAATCTTTAAGGGAGACGTCATTATTGAAGGATTGCATGTAGATTTCTGGTGGCAACAAAATACAACCATGGAAGTGACTTTGTCAACGACTTCTCAGTCATGGACAGCCCATTATATACGGTTCTATGTCCCGGTTCCATGGTCAAATAATGGTTGGTGCCAGATAATGGTTATTTATCAAGATGGAAATGTTCGTTTACTTCCAATGACGCCAAGAGGAGCTTCATGGATCCCTTTTGGATCTTCGGTGTTGATTGGTCAAAGCGACAAGTCAATGAGACCAAGTGCTCCAATTTCCAAAGTAAAATCGACCCAATACACCTCTCCCTTGACGTGGTGTATGCCGACGGTGGCACAGCCACTATGACCCTTTACCCTCTTGTCGAGAGGACAGAACTACGAATTACCAAAATCAAAATGGCCGGGGACACGACGACCAACCCGTTTGCAACGTTCCGCTCAATGTACGTTGCAGGTGGCAACGCCGACACTGACAGCGTGGCCACCGACACTCATGACGTTGTACACGTGATGGATGATTGGAGAAACATCACAGGCACGGTGTTCGGACTGTTTCGACGGTGTCAGTCCAGTCATCTTACCCAGAGTCCAGATCTAAATCTGAGGATCGTTAAAACTTGAAATCATTTCACGCCATCAATTGTGGATACATGCTTGTAGAGACTATACACGTTGGGCTTAAAGCTTGCATGATATTTCTATGTTAATATGTTGATATGGCCACTTTAATTGCTTTAATTCTCAACTTTCTGAATCAACAAATATTAATATCAAGTACTCCCATTTGACAGTAGAATGGAAAATCTGTAGAACAACATCCAGAAATGGACAACAATCAATTTTACCCTGATTAGACGGAACCCGTAAGAGTTTACAGGATTCTATTTATCAGGAAAACCAGAATGACGTCAGTTTTGTCTTAGTGTTTTCTGGATGCAAGTATGTTATATTCAGATGTTGTTAAATTAATGTTGCATGAATGTGTTCTTAACATGTGTACAGATATGCGATCATGTCATTTGTAGTATGAGTATAAAGTTTGCAATGTATCGTGTATGGTACTACGACCGAGGTATGTGTCTACTTTGGGAACTAATAATGCACATCATATAAATCATGGTTCTGTTCGGTTTGTTAGGCATTTGTTAATAGTAGTGAGTGAGTGAGTTTAGTTTTACGCCGTTTTGACCACCTCATCCCGGTAGTGGCTTCTTACGACAAGCATGGGTTGTTGAAGATCAATTCTATGTTAATAGTAAATTATATGACAGCTAATTTGAGACTTAAGTTTGTGAGCAGTTGAAATTCAAAGCGACGTTTCTATATAAACTGTGAATTGATTTTCTTTTTGAAATTGATATCACTAATAAGTTTTAAAATCAGTATATGAAACATTGCGATACACATGTATTTACTGACATAAGTGTTTTTATCTTTCAAAAGTGAAAGTTGTCGAAAATATGCAAATTACGTTCATTTAAATTTGCAAATTGGAAATCTTGAGATAACAAAATCCAGAAATGGACCGTTAAAGGCGTCAGCGTCGTTTGTGTAGTCTTTGGGTAATACACTTGGACTGATACCTGATATATCACATGTCATTTATACAATACCCTTGGGGTGATAGGCTCTTAGTATCTTGGGGATCAGGTGCTTCAAGCAGAGAGTGCACTTCACAATCTAAATAAGTACTTCATGTGAGCTATACTATATTAAGTGTTATCCCAAATATAATATTTGTTACCATGCTATGATGTGGTATTTTACACTTGTATTACATCTTATGTAGATACAGCCACGTTTCGCCACTTCTCGTTACTTTGCGCCTGGGGTTCATTTGAATGTTGACATTTTACAATCTCGCATTTCATGTCAAGTCAAGGTTAGGATTTGCTGATTATGTTTGAACGTATTGCGTTTTTATGAATAAGGCTATCATGTGTGGCTTTCAAGTAACACAAGATGTAGGGTTATGGAGGACATCGTTTATTTCTGGCATACACATACAGATAGCATCTTTAAACACATCTTAGACGTGGGAAATTGTGTTTTAGTACCTTCAAGGCATAAACATAATGGATTTTTCTTCTTTGAATTGTCTTTACGGGAAGACCTAAGAAAATATCTCTCGTAAACTGGACTTATTTAGATAGCAGTTCCTTGGGTATATATAGTGTATGCAAAACAGAAATGTTATTTCGACATGCATGAAATGAAAAAGTAACTGATTTAGTTCACAATAAATTAATGGCTTTTAAAAGTGAGACACATAAGTGAGAGATGTTATCAGTGCCTTATATTATTGTGAGGAACACGACAGTTAGGTCGTATGCCTCCTGGCTTCATTATATCAATGCTTATTAACAATTCGTGTTAATTAACCGTTGGATTCCCATGTTAATTTTCAACCTTTCTTTTGTCAAACTTGTTCAACGAAACCAGTCAGTGTTAATTTACTGCTGGCTTCCTTTGTTTAGTTTCCACTTGTTTACTTATTACTTTTGATATCCTCACATGTACAGTATATATGTACAGATCCCGGTCCTTATCACGGAGAAGTGAGTGAGTTTAGTTTTACGCAGCACTTAGCAATATCCTCATCACGAAGAACTTGACATAAATGCACTCGCTAATCATGCAACATTTTTAATCAGTTGGTTTAAATGACATACATTTTATTTGATTTTTTTAAAGGCTCTTACATGCATTCACTGGCAACGGATGTAAATATCTTAAAGCATGAATATTTGGGTGGCCTGAGTCTATAGTGTATGTCATCAATTAGGTACGGGTGGGAATACACGCTACAATACTATTCCTCTAGGGTTATTGGGGACGATATAATTAGATGGGGTGTTTTGGGGTGAGTTGGGTAAGGATGAACTTCTAATAATTGATATATTATGAACGTATGATGGAAGTTCAAGTGAAGGAACATAGAAATCATCGTGCATTCCGACGGAGCTGTCTTCATTTTAAAAGTAAACAGAAATGATTTAACATTTTTTATACAAAGTGTCACGAACATCGTTATTGATATGCTTCCTACTAATTACTCCCTGTTCAAAGTTACCTTTGCAAATAATGCGCTGTGTTTGGGCAGTTTAAACAGTCATTTATCCTCTTCGCTAAAGTGTTTGATTTCACGTAAATATATGATAATGTGTTGACCAAGGCGCAACTGTACTCGCCTGCATGGACCATTAAGCTGTTATGTTAGGCTAGCTTATTGGTTAACCTGTTACTTTGGGCTCGCTTATTGGAACAGTATATTTGAACGCAGTCAATAGCCGAGTGTGCTTAGCGTTTCTTTGTTCGGTACTTTGGAGTGACGTTTAACACGTCTAGTGGTATCTTTTGAAATGTCTATATGTATCTTAAATAAAATTATTCCAAACAGCACCAAGACAACGAAAGCCATTTATAATTTATTTAGTCTGCTAGTAGTTAGACGTGACGTGAAACAAAATGGGGTTGGACTTTGTGTTGAGAATGATTGACGTGCGTATGTGTGCACGTGTATGTGTGCAAATCCAACGGGGCGAACAGTGTCACCAACAGACCAGGACGGCCATCCAACAGGACGAACAGTGTCCCAGATAGACCAGGACGACCATTTAACAGGACGAACAGTGTCACCAAGAGACCAGGGCGGCCATCCAACAGGACGAACAGTGTCCCAGACAGACCAGGACGGCCACCCAACAGGACGAACAGTGTCCCAGACAGACCAGGACGACCATCTAACAGGACGAACAGTGTCATCAAACAGACCAAGGCGCCCATCCAACAGGACGAACAATGTCACCAAGAGACCAAGGCGCCCATCCAACAAGACGAACAGTGTCACCAAGAGACCAGGGAGCCCATTTAACAGGACGAACAGTGTCACCAACAGACCAGGACGGCCACCCAACAGGACGAACAGTGTCACCGACAGACTAGGACGGCCATCCAACATCACGAACAGTGTCACCAAGAGACGAGGACGGCCATTCAACAGGAGGAACAGTGTCACCAACAGACCAGAACCAGCTCACAAGGGTACAGTGAAAGACGCTTCATCAGAAGTAGTCTCCGGGGACTGTATATCAATTATATATATGGTAAACGTACATCAGCATTGTAGGGAAAGGTATGTCAGGATGGAAAATCAAATGCAACGTACATCAGCAGTGGAAGACAAAGTACTTCGAAAGTATAAGGAAGGTATATGAACAGAATAAGGAAGGTAAATGAACAGTATAAGGAAGGTCATTTTTAAAATAAACAGTAATTGGAAGGTAAATGAACAACATAAGGAAGGTAAAAGGAGTGAGTGAGTGTAGTTTTACGCCGCGCTCAGCAATATTCCAGCTTTATGGCTGCGGTCTGTAAATAATCGAGTCTGGACCAGACAATCCAGTGATCAACAGCATGAGCATCGATCTGCGCAATTGGGAACCGATGACATGTGTCAACCAAGTCAGCGAGCCTGACCACCCGATTCCGTTAGTCGCCTTTTACCACAAGCATGGGTTGCTGAAGATCAATTCTAACCCGAACCTTCACGGGTTGAAGGTAAAAAAGTATAAGAGTGGGATATAAACAGTGTAAGGAAGGTACATAAACCGTATAAGGAAGGTAAATGTACAGCATAAGGGAGGTAAATAAACAGTTCAGGGGAGGTAAATGAGTAGTGTACGGAAGGTAAATGAACAGTGTAAGGGGAGTGAAATGAACAGTATAAAGAAGGAAAATAAGTAGTATAAGGGAGGTAAATAGACAGTATAGGGGAGGTAAATGAACAGTGCAAGGAAGGTAAATGAACAGTGTAAGGAAAGTAAATAAACAGAATAAGGAAGGTAAATGGACAGCTTAAGGATGGTAAATGAGCTGTATAAGGAAGGTAAATAAACAGTTAAAGGGAGGTTAATAAACAGTATAGGGGAGGTAAATGAACAGTGTAAGGAACCTAAATGAACAATATAAGGGAGTGAAATGAACAGTATAAGGAAAGTAAATAAACAGTGTAAGGGAGGTAAATAAACAGTATAGGGGAGGTAAATGAACAGTGTAACGAAGGTAAATGAGCAGTGTAAGGAAAGTAAATGAACAGTGTAATGAAGGCGAATGAACAGTGTAAGGAAAGTAAATAAACAGTATAAGGAAGGTAAATGGACAGTATAAGGATGGTAAATGAACAGTATAAGGAAGGTAAATAAACAGTATAAGGGAGGTAGATAAACAGTATAGGGGAGGTAAAAGAACAGTTTACGGAAGGTAAATGAACAATATAAGGGAGTGAAATGAACAGCATAAGGAAGGTAAACGAGCAGTATAAAAGTGATAAACGAGCAGTGTAAGGGGGGAAAATACACAGTATAAGGGAGGTGAAAAAACACTATAAGGAAAGTAAATGAACAGTCTAAGGTGAGGTGAGGTGAAATTGGGTTTTACGTCGTGCTTGAGAATATTTCTTTCATATGACGACGTGCATGCGTGTGTATGTGTATGTGCGGCTGCTTGTACTAGCCCAGACTTAAGCTGCTTTTATAGTGCTAGCCCACTGAGATACCATGCCGCAGTGATGCATGAATAACCCACTCAGACACATTATACTGACACCGAGCCGACCAGTCCTTGTTGTACCCATTAATGCCGAGCGCCAGGCAGGGACCAACAAGTATCATATTTTAACGTCTTTTGGTATGACGCGGTCGGGGATCGAACCCGCGACCTTCCGCTCTCCAGGCGGACGCTCTAACCACTACACCACGGAGGCGGTCTAACAGTCTAAGGAAGGTAAAGGAACACTATAAGGGAGGTAAATAAACAGTTTCATGGGAGGTAAATAAACAGTATAAGGAAGGTAAAGGAACAGTGTAAGGAAAGAAAATGAACAGTGTAATGAAGGCAAATGAACAGTGTAAGGAAAGTAAATGAACAGTAAAAGGGAGTAAATAAACAATAAAAGGGAGGTGAATAAACAGAATAAGGGTGGTAAATAAACACTATAAGGGAGGTAAATGAACAGTATAAGGGAGGTAAATAAACAGTATAAGGGAGGTAAATAAACAGTATAGGGGAGGTAAAAGAACAATGTACGGAAGGTAAATGAACAATATAAGGGAGTGAAATGAACAGTATAAGGAAGGTAAATACACAGTATATGGAAGGTAAATGAACAGAATATGGAAGGGAAATGAACAGTATAAGGGAGGTAAATGAACGGTATAAGGGAGTAAATAAACAGTAAAGGTAGGTGAATAAACACTATAAGGCTGGTAAATAGACACTATAAGGGAGGTAAATGAACAGTGTAAGGGAGGTAAATGAAGAGTATAGGGGAGGTAAATGAACAACATAAAAATGGTAAATGAACAGGGTAAGGGTGGTAAATAAACAGTATAAGGAAGGTAAACGAACAATATAATTAAGTTAAATGAAAAAGTATAAGGGAGGTAAATGAACAGTATAAGGAAGGTAAATGAACAGTATAATTAAGTTAAATGAAGAGTATAAGGGAGTAAATAAACAGTATAAGGAAGGTAAATGAACAGTATAAGGGAGGTAAATAAAGTGTATAAGGAAGGTGTATCAACTGCTAAGAGTGGGGGAATCTTCATCAGGAGTGTGAAGGAATTTGTTGAATTTGTTTGTTTCATATTTACATCTATACCTTGACTCCCATTGTCGAATTTCCCTTCATGTCCAGCAATGTCCGAATTTTGATGTCTACATTTCGTCCATGTTCTCATCTTATCTAAATATTCTGTGATAATGAAACTAAATGATTTGGCATCAACTATAATAATTAACTGAGTGTAAGGTGTAAGGTTTGTATTTCACTGATGTGATTATATAACACAGTTTTATATGAAGCAAACGGAAAACAGGAAGAAGAACACAGGGTGTGTGATATATACTTCGCACTGCAGAGTTGCGTCCCTTACATCTATACGCAAATGATCACATTCCCAGTTCTCCATCATTACCATATTTAGTTTCTTTGCACCACATCCGACACCCAGGGTTTTCAGCGTTACGAGCGAACGCTTTAACCACTAGGCTACCCCACCGCCGCTAGTAACGGACTAAACTCGTACGTGTATCCAACGTAGATGGGAATACACCTGTGCAATATGCTCGTTGATTAGCTTTGAACTTCGTCTCTCAAACACTGCACTGCCTGTCAACAGCATATACGGTGTCCCTTCATAGTCGCTTTACAATACACAAGGTAAAATGTGTAACATAGTTTTACATCTAAACATCTAACTTGTACGACAGAAAACATGGTCTTCTCCTGGGCCGTAGGTAGCTAAGCAACTTAGCAAGGCAACTTAGATACTCCAGATTGTCAGGAGGATAAACCTTTCAGATATAAATGTCATAAAGGTATCCCTTTTGATCATGTTACTCGAGAGAATACATCGCTTTTAAAACTTCAATAGAGCAAAATTAAAATGTAGCTCGTGAAAACATTTTTAAGATGAGAGAGTGACTTATGACTATTTTATGTTTAAGTGAATTAATATACTGTAGTTGAATAGATAGGCAGAAGGGCGATGTTTATAGACTAGCTCGGTGAGTGTGTATATAATTAGATAAATGGATGGGTGAATGCATGAGCGTCTGGATAAATAAATGGAGTGGAGACATGATAATGGACTAAATAAATAAAGCTGACCATGCTATTCTTAAATGCGGATACCCGGGCGGAAGGGTGTGAATGAGTGATTATTGGTTTTACGCCGTTTTTAGCAACATTCCATCAATATCATGGTGGGGGACACCAGAAATGGGCTTCATGCATTATACCCACGGGAGGAATCGAACCCGGGTCTTCGGCGTGACGAGCCAACGATTTAACCACTAGGGAACTCCCAGCGCCTCGGGAGGAGGCGAGGCAGGGGAGGCGAGTGTGTGCGTGCGTGAATGCGTGCGTGCGTACTTGCGTGAGTGTGTGTTTATGTGCGGTGACATTAAATGTGAGAACAAACGCTCTCCAAAAAGGAAATATGGTTGGTTCCTGACGAAATAGATAATTATTCTTGCAACCTTTGCATTCATCAGAAAATAGGATTGTCTGCGACAAATGTCTTTAGCTGACGTCATATATAAATGTATTTATGCATAATTATACTTGAAATGTTCGGACGCATATCAATATTTAATAGTTGTAAAGAAAGTCACACATGCCAAGGAATAGGATCCATTTATAACACTGCACATATGACAGATATAACCTTGCGCAAAGCGCCAATAAATACATTGCAAAGCCGAAAACCTGACTATGTACGCACTTAACGGATGAAGCATGGCGCACGGTGATAATTGAGTAATCTTTGTTGCAACATACTTACATTTTAACCGTCTATGTTTTTCAAGTAAATTACAAACACGTGAAAGCGATACTA